GGGCGGGCGGCGGGGTGGGCCCGGTTCCTCCCGCCGCCGTCCCCTACAAAGGGCCCCGAGGAGCGGGCCTGGGGGAGCTGCGCCGCCCGGTCTGTGTGGAACTAGAGCTCAAAGAAGTATTTTTAAAAAAAAAAACCCAAACATTAAAAATACCCTTGTAAAGCGCTCGAGAGTTTATTTTTTTATTATTATTACACATGTATTTATTTATTTTACCTTCCAAGTTGCCGGGGTTCACAGCAGACCCGAGCGGGATCGTCTCCCACCAACGCTCCGGTGATTGTAAATCCCGAGCAGAGCGGGCGAGAGCGTGTAATTGCCCCTGGAATTTGCCTTAAATTATATAATTAAAGGTTGTAGCCTTAGTGAAATAATTCCCTTTTGTTAGGCCTTAAACGTGTTTTGGCATTTTTCTCGCTTTTGTCTTTTTGTTGGGTTTTTTTTTTCTGCTTTTGTTAGGAAAATCAACACGAGGTGTTTAAACAATACAGTCAGTCACTGCAGTGTTCTGCACGCTCGGTCCAGGGTTTTTGGATGGGATAAAGAGCAATGCCAGTGTGACTCCAGAGGGAATCTTTCTTACAGCAAGTTCAGTAGTCTTCGTGCATGTCTCTTAAAATACTTTTCTTTAAGATTGGAAATCCACGGGGAAATCCCATGAGTTTGCTATCAATCTGCATAACTCAGCTGTTTGGAACCTGGTAATATAAAGGGACACTTTTTATTGCAGTCCACAGCTAACGCTTCGCTTCCATTAAAAGCAAAGCGAAATACAGAATTCAGCGTGTGTTATTGGGGTGAAACGGATTGTTGGGTTTTAAATGGCCTTGAGCAGATGAATGAGCCCGTTGGCTTGAGCCGGACAAAGAATCAGGACGTGTGTCCAATAACGCAGGGCACGGGATGGGGATTTCAAAGAATCCAGCCATTGTGTGGGGAGCCGGAGCAGCCCCAGCACCGCAGTTCGGTTGGTTTCAGGAACTCTCTTCTACTCGGGTGGTGTTTTTAAGTGCTGTTTGCTGACTGCTGGGCCAGCTTTGTGGGGTCAGAACAATACACAGTGATGTGACAGGACTTTTGTTCAAACAGGGATGTTGTTGGATGTGTGGGACTGTTTTGTCTGTAGGTATTTCATTCATGAGCGCAGCATACTTCCTTTGAATCCTAGTTTGTGGATTTCAGAGAGGAGTAGAGGCAGAAGCTTGGCCATTCAACAAAATGTTTAATTGATTTTATTTTTTCTTGTCAAGGGCTCTCTGCCATCATGTCAGTTGCTATGGCTTCCTCTATAAAACAGAAATCTTAGGGTATAAATAAATTTTGTATGTTTTAACCCTCATGAGAGACAGCTTGATTTAAAGGGTTCCTGTACAGAATCATGCAATGTTTCTTTTGATTATTGTCAGAAGTATTCCTATGGTTTTTTTGCATGTACATCTCATGAGTATTTACATAAACCATTTTTCTTATTTTTAAAGGAATCATAATTTGAAGGTGAATCTCATGATTCCCCCCCCTACGTGCAGTCAAGTACAGTGGGAAATTAGCAAGAGAGATTCTGTGTCTTGTGGTTTAAATGTTTTGGGAAGACTTGGCTTGTTAAATAGAACTTTACACACTAGCAGTTCCTGCATCTTCAGAAGAGCCACATAGGCAATTTCCAAGTGTGCAGTTTCATTTGCATAATAGGAGCAATTTGTTGCCATCCACAGCTCTTCTGTGGAAATGCAGCCGCTGAACATTAAAATACCTTATATCCAACATTTCATAGAACAGAGTTTTCTGAGACTTGTTTGCCAGGGGTGAGTAGAGAGCCAGACCGAGCTGTGAACTCTTCCGAGCGGACAGTGGCTCCGGCGTGTGCTGCCCAAAGCTTTGTCCGTCCGTGGAGGTGTTATTGCTGAACGCCTGTGCTGCCACGTCTGTGAACGTGCCTGTTGGGAAGCAGATCCCATCAGCACAGGCTTTGTTCCTTAGAAAATTGATTTTTTTTCTTAGACAGGGAGCCCTTTGATGCAGGTACCCTATCTTCATGTGTGTTTGTAGAGCGCCCAGCACTTCTGCTGTTACTGGAACTTTGTAGTAAACAGTGAAGTTGTTACGTTTTTATCTTGAGATTAATGTAACCTTATCTCCTTTGTTTAAACCACTCTCATGAATGAGTATCTATTTTAGAAAACACATAGCACGTGTCTTAAGGAATACATTGTTGTACTGTATTTGTGTGGCAGAAATGTTAAATTTCCATGGCTGAGGGTAGTTCTACTTTTTTTTTAACAGTACTTACAATTTTTCTTTCAATCTGTTTTAAGAAGTCCTCTGAGATAAATTTATCTCAATGAATTGTGAAAGGTACAGAATTGGTTTTGTCTTTAAAGATTAATGGGTATGCGTAGATTCTAAATGGGCTCTCAAGAAGAGAGGGGCAAAAACTATTGTACCCTCATCCAGCATTAGAAAAAATAACAGAAAAAATTTTGTTTTATAGAAGTCTGATTTATTAAATGAAAGAAAATGCAGACACTTACTAAACCACAGGTAATGGGCAGTAAGTGGTAGGACATCTTGGGAGGCAGTGACATAGTGTGCACGGGTATGTAGCACTGCTGGGCTTTTGGACAACTGTGCAGACCTTTAAGGGTGGAGGTAAGGAGTGGGTGATGGAGATGGGTGCCCTGATCTAGGGAATGCACCGGGAATGAGGAAATCTCTCCGTGTTGCCTTGTCTTTGAATTGCAGTGTCTTTGCAGAAGGCCTTTGACCTTTTCCTGACCCGTCAAAGCCCTAATCTAGGAATAGTGACATTACCTTATGAAGAAGAGATAAACCTGGACAACTGATGAAAGTACTTAAAGAAAGTGCTAAGTATTTATTACGGCAGGGAATTGGCTGTAGAACCAGACAGGACTTTGGATGTAGCTTGAAACAAAGCGTGTTGTGTAGAAGTTGAGGAGCAAAGTCACCGCGGGCAGCGTTACCCGGTGCCGTTGGTTGGGATCGCTAGTGGTGGCTGGTGAGAGAATTTCCAGCCAACGCTGCTGTAGCTTTTCTGTTCACTGTCTCCATTCAGACTTGCTCAAATATTTTTGTGTGGTATGTAATGCTTTGAGACTGAGCTTCTTCAGGTTTTGCTGCTCACGCTTCCTTCTTAAAATAGGCTTTCCCTCTGAAAAGTAGTTATGACACAGAACGTCTTAGCACAATGTCTTTGGGAAAAGACTCTTTGCTGCTACTGGATTGCCACCCTAGTTTAGTCTGACTACACTGGCTGTGTTTGGTTTCCTGCTAAGATTGTAGTGCAGGTAGTGGCAGCTGAAGTAAAAATACCCAGTGTATGTGCAGGAACTGTGCTGAGGTACTGTACCGAGCCGAACGCGCTGTTACCCTGTTTGAATTACGGTACGTTTTTTTCTGGCTCGCGGTTATTTCTTTTTTGAGCCAGGATGTGTTTTCTGACTTGTGTGGAAGTTGGGTGTATGTTAAAGGTGGAGTTCTGTCACGCACAAACTGTTTCCTTTTACTGTAAGAAAAGTTGCTGTCGCAATCTGGAACTTAGCAGAATTTGCTTAAAACCATGCTGGCCTGTGTCAGTTAAAGGGGACTCTCATAATGCACTGTGTTTAGATAAACTCAGAGAGAAGGTGTCCTCAATCATTCATGCTACATGGTATTTTATTGTATTTGCAGCGTGGTAAAGAAACACCATGTATATTTGGTGTATATTTGGGGCAACTTCACTTTAGTCACTAGAGATATCTACACAGCAATGGGCGTGCTCTGAAAAGCAAGCCTACATTTCAAAAAAATCTTTTTTTGTGCATCTTACAGCACTTTTTCTGTATAATAATGGCATTTTCTTTCCCATTCCCCTTTCTCCTTTGCTTGATCCCACAGGGAGGTCATAATTCTGTGATTTTCACCAAACTCTGTTGCAATGCAAGTGAGTGTGATGTGATAAATTCAGCATTATGACGTCACTTCGTGATCATCAACAGAAGATGGGGTATGTGGGAGCAAATCCTTGTGTAAATACAGATCACTGTGATAAATGATAGTCACGGTAAAAGGCCAAACAATTGTGAAAGCCTTTGAATACTGAATGATAATATATTGGCAGTAAAGGCTTTCTGTTTCTGTGCCGTCAAGTGTTTCTAGCGCTCGTTGCTGCTGCAGAAGCTGCTTTGACACTTTATGTATAAGTGTAATATACACTGTTGTGTTTGCTCACTGTATATTACTTTTATACATGGAATTTGATATTCATGTTTGGAGCTTTAGTGTTAATATACAAGATATAAATATATTTAAGAGTCTTGGGCTATTTAGAATGGGGAATTGAGTATATAATTATCTAAGTTGTAGGATGTTGGTATGCCTCAGGCATAAGCACTAGTGTTGATACTAATGCTTACTCTACGTATCCTTGGCTGTCCTTTAAATGCTGTGCAGATATGGTTCAGAATTTAAAAATGCTTTAACACGATTTCAGATAAATGTGAGGATTTGTTTCTGTTGTATTGACTACTTTCTAAATTTACTGTAACTAAAATATTGAAGTTACTTTTCAGTGTGGAAGATTAAAAAAAAATATATCTTATTGTATATATTTTAAGTTTTGTTATTTTCCATTGTTGTTAACTCCTGAGTCATTCGTGGAGGAACAGGAGAGGTTTGAAACCAGTAAAAATGTGTTTTTTTGAAGTTGCAGAGTTGGTCAGCTAGACATGGGCTAGTAAAGTTGGTAATTGCCACGTTTTTACCCTAATGAACTCTCAGGTTGATGATGATCCATCAACCACCTTTTCCAATCCTACAGTCAATATAGAGATCAACCTATATAGCATAACAGTGGACAGTGCAATAGAACCACTGCCTAGTGACTGCCTGACAAAGGTGGAGTAGACGTTTGGGGATGGAGTTGTGGTCGGGCTCTCGGGATGAGTGGGCTCAACAGCAGATCCATTTTACAGCCAGGAAGACAGTGGAGAAGCTAATTAAGGTTTCACAACAGAATGGGCACAAGAGTTCATTCATTGCTCGTTCCTACTGTGGCATTTGCTCAGGGAGAATATTTTGTAGCTTGTGCAGCATTTAGCAAACTTACTGGTAATGGGCAGCATCAGTAAATTGTCAGTTCTGGCTAAATGACAAGGAAAGTCCCTGATCAGCGGGTTGGGATGGTGTCTTTGCACAAAAGATAAAAAGTGGATGTTCAGAGTGGAAGTGGATTTGGGGATTTCTTTGTTTGATTAGTTTGGTTTTTGTTTTGAAATGGAAAGGCAGTAAGTATTAGAGATAATATTTGAAGCTTTATTTGCAATAAACGTCTTAAATCCTGAAGTTACTTTACCCTGTTGGTCATAAATGCCTGAAAATCATTACATTTCTCTGTTAATAAATTTGTGTTTGTGCTGCCAATGATTTTATTAAGTTTTAGAGGAGATTGTCTTCTTTTTTCTTATTAATACTTTTATGATCTTAAACCTTCAATACTGTAAATGCTTACACATGTGAAATATTTGACTAATAGCAGTGTGATGTTGGGTTTTCTTTTTAGCCATAAGTGTTTGCAGGACTGGGATGTTGGTGTACTTCCATCATAAAATATCCTTATTCCCATTGTTGTCTGAATTACTGTGTATTGCATTCAGTTAAAAAAAAAAATCCCTATAGCTGAGGGTTATCAAAACTTAAAGTGGTACTTAAGAAGCTCAAAAGAATTAAAATGTCAGGGCTAACTTTAATACTAGAAGGAAAAATTTACTAATATAGGTTTCCTCCTGTGTTCTACAGTCTGTCCAGTGAAGATGCTGTGTGAGGCTGCTTTGAGATGCTAACAGGTATCTTGAACTTTTGGTTTTCCAGTGCAGCATCTCTAAGTAATATTTTGCTGTAGGAAAAGACTAAAATCTTGATTTTTTAATTTTTTTTTTAAGCATTTATTCACCTTTCCCCACACTCAAAACAAAACCCCAGATAGTTTTATTTCCATAATTTCAAAGGTTTTCCCAAGTAGAAATAAGTTTAGTTTGTCTTGCGTTCTTAAAAAAAAGAATATCATGATCATCTCCTCACAATTAAGTATGCTCTCATTATTTACATGCCGTCATCTCCACTGTCATTTTAATCACATCTAGCAGTAGAGCTCCAAATTAGCATAAAATTGGGTTTTGACATACTTTAGCCATCTAGTGTATCCAAATGGAAGTATCTGAACACACTGAGGAAAAACTGTGCTCCAGGAAGAGCAGTGGGAAAGAAATTAATCTGAAATAGTTTTGTACTCTAATTAAAATATCCTTGGAGACAGGTCCAAAAGTTATCAAATTGTTTGTTTTTTTGTTTTTGTTTTTTTTTTTTTTTTTCTTTTTCCCCCAAAAGGAAAAGTGTCTCTTCTAAAGGGAAAACAAACAAGATTGGCTTTAGTAGCTAACACAAATAGTCAGGAGGATGTTTGTGGCATTTGTACAATGTGGCTGCTTTTGATTCTGGAAGCCCTTTCTAATAATGGAGCTATCACATATATATATATATATATTTGGAGTCACATCCAGCTTCTCCCATCCTGCAAAGAACATTTTTCTTTTTTTTTTTAGAAAGTCTACAACTGGATCTCAAATCTATTATTTAAATGTGTTTTTAAAAAAGAAAAATGCTTGAGATCTCATCCCAAATTAATTTCAAATGTTCCTGAATATTGAATGGAATTGGTCTATGTTGTTAACTTTTAATAGATCCATTTGCAGAGCCGTGTTACAGACCCAGGAACCAGCAGTGGTAATCTGTGACCTGAAAACTGATCACAGAAATGTGATGAAATTTCTCTGGCATTGTGGACCTTCTTTTAATATTCTGCTCAAGGAATTCATCCCTTCACTGAGTGTTCAGCATCCTTTCCATCTCCGCACTCTGTGACTGAGCGACCCCTTAATGTAGTGACGCCCTCCAGCCAGATTTCCTTCACAGTTTGTCAGTGTCACGACTTGGTGGCTGGCTGGCAGGGGTCTGCCCAGAGTGCTGTAGGTTATGATTTTCCCCTCTCTGGTAGCCCCAGCCTTTGCTGTCCAAGAGAGCTAGGCTCTCCAGAGTCTGAATTCTGCATCACGGCACATATAGCTACCCCAATAAGGCTGTTGGTTCTAAGGCTGGAATTTCAGAGCTGTCTGACAGGAGTGTTGAGTGAATGTTAAATTGCTAGCAGCAAATTTCTACCCAAAAAAACCCCTTCAGATGGTCAAAATGCATTTAGATTTCTAATACCATTAAACAGCTTCATGACAATCAAAACACACTGGTCTGTCTAAAACCTCTTCTGCTCTCTAGAAACTTAAGTGAAAATTATAGGCATTAAACCCGCATTTTCAATAGCTGTTTTTCTTAACTGTATCGTTAATCCAGATCTAATTACTGCTACTGCAGTTACCTAGTCAAGTAACAGCCCTGAGAAATCTGGAGGTTAGCAGTGTCTTAACAAGTTTTTGAAATGCAAAGAACAATTTGCACAATGCAGTACTAAAGATGATGTAATAGGGATCATCCTACCTAATAGCCTATTTAAATCCTCGACAACTTACAATAGTAGATGACTTTCTTTTGAATCCAAAGTGTAACTTTAACTTCTCCTGCATTGTAATTTTATAGGGAGAAGAAGTGGGTGACAGTTGGCGACACATCCCTAAGGATTTACAAATGGGTACCAGTAACAGAGCCTAAAGTCGATGATGTAAGTATCCTGCAGATGTCTTGCTTTTTTCAAGATGTAGACACTCGTGTTTAGGGAAAGTCAAAAGAAATATCCTTGCTGTCCTTTGAGCTTTTAAGCTGAGGCTGGTGTGAGTCTTGCAAGCGTTGGAACAGAAGAGCTGTAGGCAGATGCTGATCTCTACAGAAAGTGATGTTGATGGTTCAGTGGGTGACAGTCTCCCTGGAGTCAGCTTGGATCAGTTCTCAGATCGCTGTTAAACATGTGGCTTGGAACTGATTCTTGAAACCTTTCTCTAACATAATAGTGGGGAGGGGGGGAGGGAAGCTAAGACATTGGTTACTTTTCCCCTCTTTCTGCCTGATCCTTTAAAGGAAAGTAGCTGGTTTGGAACTGTGCGGAGAATGTATTCTGTCTGTACATCACTGCTGTTTTACTTAAAAATTGGTGAGAAACACTGAAGTAAGGGTAGGAAAACCCTGTGGAACTGAGATGACTTGTCTTAAGAAGTCCAGCCCAGGCAGTACAGCAGACGTGCTTCTGTTGTAATGTGTGTTTTCTCTTGATAAATGTTTTGTGTGTGCATCGTGTTTACATTCTTAGTGCACACTGCTCATTTGCCATGATATAATCATGTGGCATAAAAATAAGTGTAAAAATCAAAGTTGATAGGGTTACAAATTGTTTTTCAAAATGAACATTGCTCTCATTTTGTAAATTGAGATCTTGTTATAGAGAGAAAACTAATCCATGGAACCACAGCAAATTAATGATACAATAGAATATACATCCTAAGTTTGATACTCCTTCCTTGGATTGTCACGTACTTTAACTTGCTTTGAAATATGAGTTAAGCTGTCTGGAAGTAAACTACTATGTTAATAAATGTGTAAAATTATGTTTTTTCAGACAAGACAGTGTCATGATCTTGTCTTATTCAAAGTCCAAACTCAAGACCTATTTTTGATTAGCGTTGTTTTAACTGAGTTTGTTTCTTTCTGTACTTTTGGTTGTACCCCAGATTTCCATGACTGTCAGAGTTGTGGTAAGCCACTTGTATTCTCCCAGTGCCTGAGCAGCATCTCTGTGAAATAACCCCTTGTGAACTGGGAAACCTCTCCTGGTTTCTTTACAGAAACTTGTTCATTCTTTCTAGTTGTCAAATGTTTGGACTTGATTTTATTATTTATAATAATAGGGGGAAAAGGCTGTGCTATCTATGTGTGTGTGAGAGAGATGTTTAGGCTGTTTAGTCTCACAGCTGCTGAAAAGAGTTTTCCTGCAGTTAAGCTGTGCTGGCATGATGGGTACCAGGCAACTTTGAAATAGAATTTCTAGTGAGTTTCTGGATGAATTTTCAAGGTGACTGGTACCTGAAGTCAGCTTCTCTGTTAAGAAGAATGAGTTTATGTAACGGTCTGTATGTGCAGAGTTTAATTTTATTTTTTGAGCCATCATCTTTAGGTTTAGGCTCCAGATTTGCTGAAATTGAGACGCTCGTTCAAGACCAGTTGCTTCAGTGTCCTACAGTCACATTCTGTTGATTACGAGTAGAGACGGTTGTGCAGCTGCGGTTGCTGCAGCCTTGATGTCATGAGATTTCTGTCGAAATTGAGACGCTCGTTCAAGACCAGTTGCTACAGTGTCCTACAGTCACATTCTGTTGATTATGAGTAGAGGCCGTTGTGCAGCTGCAGTTGCTGCAGGCTTGGATGTCATAAGATTTCTGTCTTTTTTGCTCTGGAACTTCTCACAGTTGCACAGTTCTCACAAAAGTGCATGTATTTTAAAAATAAATATCAGGAACAGTCATCTTGACTATTTAATTTTGTTTTGGACATCCTTTTATATCCAATTTCATCCACCTGTGAAGGAGTAGACAGTGTACTTGTTTATTACTAGAACAGGAGAATGTGGTCATTTTTACTGCTTCAGGTTTCAAATGGAAGTTGTCTTTGATTTTAGTGAACGCAGATTAGATTGCTTCCTCTTCTCATGTTGTTCCTAAGCCACTCTGACATTTCTTTGAACTAGAATTAGCTAGGGTCTTTCCTCCTCCTAGTTTTTGAAGGCTGTTGTAGAAACTCACCACTTTGATGGTTAAACCTTTTTTTAAAAAACTTCAGCTTAAATGCTCCCAGTCATTTTTTTATATTTCTCTTGTGACAAAAGTGTCCTTTTTACCTTTCAAGAAAGACAACAAAAGCAAAGCTGAGAGAGATTATGTCCCTTTTGAACTTTCCTGTTGCAAAAGAAGTCCATGTGCTTTCACCTCTCTTTCACATATTAGGGAATAAAGCCTGTGTCTTCTGAAGTAAAAATACAATTTAAAGATAATCCTGTTAATCTATATAAAATAGAAGGAAAAGTCCTTCCACGTATCACTTGTTGAATTTCTTCTGCAGTCTTAGACAATATTTGATTGTGCTTTTAGTTCCTTCCCTTGTTGGAGGACATCGTCTTACCCAAATGGTGAATTGCTGAGCGTTCTCCCCTTCCTAGAGTCAGGCTTTTAATTGTCTTCTCAGCAGGCACACAGGATCCTCCAGAAGCAGTGCAGCTGGCTCTTTCTCCTACGAGACCGATTACGTCACCTCTTAATTGAAAATGCTGCATCCCTTAGCAGAGGCAGATTTTCCACGTGATGGATGCCACTGTCTCGTCCTTTGTTTTAGTGCTTGCAGTCCATACTGTCATTTGGTCATGAGTGTGTTGTCACCTGTTGTTCATGCAGGACTGTCCTGCTTATGCTCTTCTTTTTAGGCCAATCTGATTTTTCTTAGTCCATCTTTTAGTTTTAATGAAGAAACAGCATTAGTTGTAGAGAAGGAGGAGGTCTCTGCAGTGTTGGTCATTGAGAAAGAGGTCAAAAGCTGTCTCTTTAGTGTTAGAATCCTAGATCTGTTTCCTTTCCTGTTGTGTATGCATGCATATTGTCTAGGTGTGTTCTGCAAGGTTTCTGATATGAAAAACAGAATGTGTTGGGTTTTGTAGCAGGGTGTTGATATTCATAAACCATACAGCGAGCAGAGTTACGAGCTCAGAAGTCAGGTAGTTCAGTGAATCTTAGCGCTGCCTCTGATCAGCAATGTTCTTCCCTTTCTTGGTGTAGCAGAGATTCTTTTGACTTGACTTTGGCAGCTCTTTGGCCTGAGTACAGAGTTAGCAGCCAGCATCTCCCAAGCTCTCCGGCTCAGTTTCAGCGAGCCCTTTAATTGTTGTCCCTCCGATTTGCTGTGAAGTGAGGGGTATTACTGAGAACTTTTGTGCTTTTTACAAAAATCATGCAGTATTTTGAAGATGAAAAACATACTTATGTACTAACCTTTACTAGAATTTCTGGATAAGAACCTATATATCCTAGTGTTTTGTGTCATGAAGAATACAAAACCAGCCCTGCAGTTGGTGGGACTAATGCATTATTGCTCATGTCAGTTATTATTACATTGGCTTTATTTCTCACATGAAACTAAGAGATACTCACAGGAGTAATGAGTGGGAAGGGTTTTATATTGCAACATGGATTTCTCTTCATAGTGATAGCCTCATTTGTTTGTGGTACCTTTTGTTTTTCAGAAAAATAAGAATAAGAAAAAAGGCAAAGATGAAAAATGTGGCTCTGAAGTGACCACTCCAGAGAACAGCTCCTCTCCAGGGATGATGGACATGCATGGTGAGTGGGAGAAGGTCAGCCCCAGTTACCCTCTTACACTGCTGTGAAAGTATAACCTAACCACATCAAATTCTCTGTGACTCGGATGTATGGACAACATGATTGAGCCACAGTGAAAACAGCATCAGATACTCATTTGGTACCTTTGACTTTTCTTCTGGGGATGCACTAACAGTTGTTTAAATGTCATTTTTATTTTGGTGCTGTGTGTGTGAAAAATAAAATTGTTAGTGGAGCTAAATATGAAAATAAAAATAGAAATACCTACTGTTCAAAATACTACACTCAGATGAAGTAGGAAGTCTGTCAGGTTTGCTACTTAAGAACCAAAAGACCCCCAAAGCCTCAGTGGTGCCTATTATAATTTGTACAGGTTTTTTAAGGACTTTATAGGTGAGTCAGGTCAGAAAAATTCTGTAAAAGCTAAGAAAGCAAGCTCTGGTTCTGTGGTGTCTTCCTTCTGCTTCAGCTTGATGAAATTAGCTGGTCAAGAACACATTTCTTTGCTATTAGGTCAGGGTTTTTTGTTTTATTTTTTAAAGTGTGAACTGTTGAGTGTTAACCTGCTATTTATTACAGAGGAGCTTGCACAGCTCAGCTCTGTTTCATTTTTTTACCTTCTAGGTGTTTTATAACAATTATGGCTGAGAATGCAGCATTATTTGAGCTGATAAGAGAGGGACACTTTTTAGTGGGTTGCAAATTTTTCATTTTGATTTTATTTGCATTTGTCTCCTGGTTGGTTTTTACAGTGTTTACAGTGAGTATGGCCTTGCAATTAAAGGATTGAGCAGGATTTTCACAGATCTGGATTAATTTTTCTTCTGTTTCAAAATTCTTAGCTTTTTACTTGGTCAGATCATTTAATTTTCGTTAAGTCTTTTTTCCCCTATCCACAAGGTGAATGTACTACTTGCTTTTTTATCATATATCACTTGTGTTTTTAAGCCATACTGTACAATTTTGTGATAAACTTAATCTGATTTAACTTCAGGCTGCTCTGAAAAGAGATGGTCCCATCACCAGCTATGGGTTTCTGACTCCTTTGGATGTAATGATTGCACAGATGCAGAGGGGGGTGGATTGACTTGTATGCTGTTAATTTAACTAATATTTTGCTGGGTTAGTTTTCTTCAGGGAGCCAGAACTTCCCTCTTGGTTACCCATGGTTGTTAGTCTGGTTTAAAGATTAGAGGAAGTTGCACCCCACTGCTATCCATAAAGTATTAGCTGAGATATTTAAACCACTGTTCCTGGTTTTCACAGGAAGAGGGTACAGGCAGAATATTTCCTGTTAACTACAGAGACACAATCTGTGCTGCAGAAAGTTACTGTGATCCAGGTTTTTGGAGGCTAGAGAATGTTTGGGACAATTATCACTTAGAAACTATTGATATTGGGACTGGAAGTTGCATTTTACCTCAATGAGGTTTTGTTGGGGAGTTCTGGTGGGTTTTTTTGACTGTCAGGACACACTGCGAAAACTCTCTGCTCATCTGAACATTATAGTGATGGGTATTTGCAAATCTGCAGCATGAACACTTAATTAGCCATGTGTTATATGAACTATAAAATGAGACTTGCTTCAGTTGATCTGTTTTACTCATATTACAAAATTCTGGGCTCTTTTGGAAGAGATTTGAGTAAAACACTCCTGGTTTTATTGTATAATATTAGTTAGAGCACCTTTTTTAAGTTCTCTGATTTTTAGTAACTACTAAAAAATTCCTATATTATAGCATAGCAAGAGCAAAAATTGTGGTAATGGGGAAAAAAGTTAGATGTAGTGTTAATCTAAATGCCTGGATTTGGTCTCCAACAAGCTAGACTATATCATGTGTTATCAGGGAATAATACAGGAAAAATATGGTTTTTATCTTGTCTAATTAGATGTTCTTGGTTTCAACTCTTTTGTTCACAGATGACAACAGCAACCAGAGTTCAATAGCTGATGCTTCTCCAATAAAACAAGAAAACAGTAGTAATTCAAGTCCAGCACCAGAACAGAACTTGGCAACACAAGCAGACGGCACTGAAGTAAAGTCTGACGAAACTCAGACAGAAGCAAAGGAGCAGCCTGGTTCAGAAGGTAAGCTGAAAAGACCCTCTTTAAAGCCAAAGAAAAAAATATTAGCCTTTAGTGTATAATTTATTTGCATATCCATTTTAAGAACTGAATAATAACAATTTGAAAGAAATGGTTTCTGAGTTCTCAGCATTTCAGCATTTATGTGAACATGGGGTATAATCTCTCTGGCCTACTGATGATCCTTCCATACAACTGGAAAGGTCAGATTGACATTCAGGGTCTTTTCAGAGAGGAAACAAACAAAATACTTGGTTTATTGTTGTCATAATCTCAGTCTTGAAAGAAGAAATAATATAAGATAACCTCTGAAATGACTGTTACATGGTAATCACACAGATCCTGGAAAGTATTACTTTTGTAGATCAGTGAATGTTCGTTATCTACTGTGACAGTAAGATAGAGATGAGATACTTTGAATTACATTTTTAATTGGGTAAACTATAATGTAAGCTTTCTTTTTTCTTAACCCTGCTAGTTATTTATTCAAAAGTTAGCACTGGATTCTGTCCTAATTACAAGATTGTACTGTACTTGTGTACAGATTAAAAATACATGTGGGTTAAGAGACTGTTCTGAACCTCACTAAATGGTATTTTTGATAATTGAAACATGCTCTGTATTTATGTTCTTGGGAAGATAACTTTCTTCATCCTATTATAACAGATAAAATATGTCCTTAACACCATTCTAATGATGTGGTTGCAGAATTCTTCCCATAGCAAAGAAATTAAATTATGCCCTCCTGATTTAGTTCTTAGCTCAGTAGATCCACTAACCAATTTAAATTTAGAGCTTTTATCTTGGTAAGACCAGAATGGTTAACTGTGTTAAATGTTGTCATTGTTAATTGGGGTTAAAACTGACAACTGAATCGTCACCAAATTGAAATAAATCAGAACACCATATCCTTCAAAGAAGATCTCAACTAGCGTATTTGGTCCCAGTAAATGGCAAGGATTTGCTCGTGGGTCTAATATTGTCTGCACCTGCTTGTGTGAAGTTGTTACATAGCATACATGCTCCCCTGACTAAATTTAGGTTCAGGGAAAATCATACCAAGTTCTCTGGATTAGTTCCAGAGCCAGTTACTGTAAAGTGAAAGGGAGAAGTAATGACAAAAAATACTCATTATTAATGTGATTTTTTTATTGGCTACATGCTGTGTTTAAGAATTTATTAAATAATTATTTATCTACTAAAGTTTTATGATCAATCAAACCAATGGAATGGTGACATTATTAAACTGGATAGGGTTAGTGACCTTGTATATCTGTCTCCTACACTGAAATTGGGGAGATTCCTTAAAGCCAGGCTGGTCAGAAAAGCCTAGTGTGGAATTCTTAAAGAAAAACAGGTGCATTTAAAAAATTTGCTGTGCAAACAAGTCATTGCAGGCGTCAGAATAGCTTGAGGCTTGGCAGTTTAAAATACAGATCCCCTTGCACAACGATCAGCAGCAGCATGACGAGTAGCTGTCAGTAGCGACTGGAAGAGAAGGCAGCAGTGATGAGCTGTCCCTTGTGGAAGTTGCTCCAGGTGTTTTTGTCATGGGGAGATGAGCACATCACAGAGTGCTCCTTAGCTCAAACTGCAATGGATGCTGAGACATACACAGCAGAAATTGAAATTCCTCCTGACCCTTCTTTATCAGTATGAACATGCTTTTCTGGTGAGACCTGGAATGGAAGACAACTCTGTCCAAGTTTGCTGAATATGATCTTTGAGACTGCTCATCATAGGCATCACTTCATCTCAAATTCAGTCAGAGAAACTTGCCGAAATGCTTGTGATCTTTATACAGTACCCCACAAAAATATCCATTACTCAGTGGTTATGTCATCTTCATTAACTAGAGTTGTCAAAAAAACTTGTTGATTTTGCATTTCTCTTCATCTAGAATAAATTTCTATGTTTCTTGGGACTTGTGGAGAGATCAGTTCATTAAACTTGACTCTATGCATACTTCTGAGAATTCATTTGAGTCAAAAAGGATTTTTAAATGAGGCAAAGGAAAGAATGGGTTCCAGTCCTTACACTGTTCTTGGTGTGTAGGTACTGAAGGAAATATAACTTCCAGGGATCTTTAACCTGTAAAGACATTTTAAGTGCCCCTGTCCTATATCCCCCACCACTCACTATTTGGATGAATGGGAGATTTAATGCTGAGTCCTCTGTAAGTCTTGCTTTGAGAGAGAGAAGGGTTTAAAAAAACCAAACAAAACCCCAAAACAAACAAACAAAAAAACCCACAAAAATTAGAAGCAGGTAAGAGCTATAACACGCTGGAAGACTTCTCCAAAAGTATGCACCAAAATTAAAAACTATGCAACCTTAATGGTTAAGCTAGCTAGCTGAATTTCTAAATTTGATCTTAAAAGTAGTAGCAAGCAAAAAAGTGCATTTTAAATACATGGCTGAATTTCGACTCAGATAACTTTATTCTCTCTCCTTAGCTACACAGTTTTAGATCGATTAGTTATCACAGTTTAGCCCTGTAGGTAGCTGCCTTTTACATCTGAAGTAAGTTTCCTTGCAGTCAGCCCCTTTGCACAATTTCTGTTGACACTTGTTTGCTAAAAGCCTTGACATGGGTTTGTGTTACAGGGTGTGCGGGAGCTCAGCTCCCTCTAGGGACTGATTCCAGCAGTTGTATAGTGCAGGTCCTGGACCTGGAGCTTAATTAATTATATTCATACAGTTGTTAATGTATGTTCTCATTAATGATTACGCTTGGGTGAAATTTATGTGTTTGGGA